TTTTTTCACATGAGAGGTCAATGTGTTTCCCCTTCGCAGTGGAGAAGAACTTGGCGGTCATCTGCATTGTCAGGCGCTCCGTTTTCGATTTTATATAGTACTCCAGGGCAACCCCCTTTCCCACTTTGTCGATAAGGACGTCCTTGTAGGTGGTGAGGCTGTTGACGCCCGCCGTGCTCGTGGCAGTAACCGTGACCTTGACGTTTTTGAGGCTCACGAGCCCGACCTTCTCCCCATTCACCGTCACCTTGGGCAGCAACACCAGCTCTACAGGGCCGCTTCGCTTCATAGCCTCCTCGTTAAGCAGTAACCCACACGTTAAAACGACATTCTCGCCGGGTATGTGCAGGTGGTGCAGCTCAGCAAATTCATCATGCAAAAGAATAGCCGTCTTATCAACCGATTCCTCGCCAAACGGGATAAGAATGCCGTCGTGAAGCGTTTCAGAGGGTTTCAGGACGCGATTATCAACGATTAGAGCGGTACCCTTGCCATGACAGATATGCTTCTGCTCATCAATCATGTGAAATAAAATGCCCTTGCTGAGAAATTGTCTGACGAGAGTAAGCGCCCCAACCCGGATGAGGGCGCGGCTGCTGAGCCCTTCCCCAGCAAAATCAACAACGTACACGCCGCGTTTCGCCACAAAAAGATCCTCAAAAGCGATTGTTTGAAGCACCACGGGGTCAGCCTCCAGAGCGCGCTCAAAGCACTTGTTTGGTATGAGTCCAGCCAAATCGATACGCTCGCTAATCTCAGTCATATTTTTGCGGTAATAACTCTCGGTATCAATCTCAAAGATGTTCACCGAAACATTGCTGATGTTCTTGACCTCTAAGTGAAGACAAACGCTCTCCCCGGGAAGAAAATGCCTCTTGTTCCACGCCACAAAGCGAAGATGCTTTTTTTCACGTAGCGCAGCAAGCCCAGATTCGCCCAAGATCTCTGTCGCGTTTTCCACCGGCTTCCCCGCCATCAACTGGGCTTTGTAGTAAAGCCGTTGTAGAAAGGTATGATCCAAGTAGGCTTCGTACGGGGCGTACTTGACCCCGCGCATAAAAAGGACCGTCAGCACCCGCATAACGAAATCCCTCTCCGACAACCACCGCTCCGGGTTCAAATCGTGCACGCCGTACCAAAACGAATCCTCGCCCGACTCCCCTTTAGCGCCCCTGCCGCCGCCCGATACACCCGCGACGGGCGCCCGCGCGCTGTACACAAGGCGATCGAACCGCAGGGGGTTTGACAGGTACTCCTTGAAAAGCCCCTCGTCGACGGTGTGGCGTTTGAGCTCGAGCTCCATCAATGTGCGAAGGATCTGCGCGGCAAAGGCGAGGTAGGATGGGCTTTGCGGAAGCGCGCGGATCCACCGGTGCATTCGGCGTAATATCTCGCCCTGCGCCTCCAAATCACCGGAGGCGCCGAGGTCGCGATCCCTGTGGAGGTCGAGCAGCTCCCGCTCGAAGACTTTGCGGAATTTCGAGGCGACGAAGTGTGAGTCATGAACCACGCGGGGCAGCGCTTTCTCGACCTCCTCCATCTGCACCAACGTCATCTTTCGGTAGACCGACTCTGCTATGATGAAGGAGAAGACATCCGATTTGTGAAGCTTCTTTGCCGTGTTATCGCATTCGAGCAGGACTGTGCTGATGGAGGGGACGTGTGTGAAGCTGGGCAGGCAGGTCATCACCCACCGGAAATCGTTCAAACCCGTGTGCACCACGGCCAGCAGCTTCCGCAAGTCAAGGCGATAGTAGTACTCTGGCTTAATATCCTTGATATTTCGGTCTTGTTGCGCGAGTAGGTTTTTTTCGCATTCGGCGAAACTATACCGATCACAAATCAGCTCAGAAGGGCACGAGAGCTCTATCTTGGACAACCACGCTGCACTTTGATCAATAGCGGATGGCTTGGCGATGACGAACTTTGTCTTGAAGTACCGGTTGTTTAATTGTTCCATCATATTCGCACGCTTAGACGCGTCAGTCTCATTTTCAAGGAGAAGTAGTTCGTATAGAAAACAAGCATGTGAATCTGATCCAGTCGTATTACTCAACGCATGCTTCAGAGCTTTTTTAGAATCCGATGGTAAGTTGATCCCATATCGATTGAGATGATAGAGCAACCGCAGGTTTTTGAAGGTGCTCGAATCATGAGCTAACGAAGAAAAGAACTTCTCTTTATCCGGTGAGAGTATATACCGATCCAGAAGTTCAATTTCTTCATTTGACATTTCTTCAACAAAAACTTGTATAGAGTAATCACCAAAAAAAAAGAAAGAAAAAAATACAGCTAAAACGATGTCTCGGGAAATTTTTCGAGTACGAAAAAAAATACTTGTATAAGAAATAACACAATGCATATTAGAGTTTTGGGAGAGTATTCAGAGGAAAGTAGACTTGTCTTGGCATTTCAAGTCAATGATTCAATTGATTGCATCGTCATGATCATAACTAGGGAGGGGAGGGGGTAGAAATATTTACCACACCTTGATCTTTCAATTTCAATCTGAAATGAGTTTTATTTCTACGAGGTTAATTCACGTCCCACCTCGAGGCGCCACCACCCACGACGATCACAAAACACGAGGGAGAAAAAAGAGATCACCAAGAGTGTCGTACTCAACCACCTTACCGAACGCAGCCAAACAGAGTCGTTATTTTCTTTTTATTTCCCCCTTTCCGAAGTGGAACCTGTTACAAGGTTGAGACTCGATTAAGAGGGTTGCCCTGCGGCTCCATGATCCAGTTCACGCATCGCATGAACTACGATGCCGTGGAGGGGAGGGAGTAGTGCGGACGCTACCGCTCGTTCGTCGTCACACCCCTCCCCTCCTCCTCCTCCTCCTCCTTGGCGATCGCAATCTCGATTTTACGCATGCTGGGCTGCACAGCATGACGATCTCTTCTCTGATCTCCCTCTCCTCCCCTCCACAGGGCATTCTACGGCAGTCGTCGGCGCCGTTGCGTAACGCTGCTTAAACGATATCAGCCGCTATCACCTCGCACACAAGCCGCCTCGCACGCCGAGATGCGAGCTCGGTTTGGTCCATTTGGAGAACACGTCTGGCACACACCTCCGCGCTCCAACCCCTCCTGTTTGAAAATTCATTGTCTCCTTTTGAGCTCCTTGAGGCATACATTCTTCCGAAACATGACGGTTTGTATCGGCCTGATCCGACCATGAAGTGCCTCCTCCTCCTCCTCTTGCCAAGGCTACCTTCTTTTGCGGCTCCAGGCGAGAACAATCGCGTGTGGTAATAAGATAGACATCGCACGCCGATTCGACCCCACGGCGCCTGAACTCGGTGAGGCTTTGCGCGTTTACAACCCACACTCTGACGTGAGATTTACTTTCATGAATAGCCCCCTCTGCGTGCGCTGCTCCTCCATACGTTGGAGCCTTTTCGTGGGATGGTCCTCGCTCACTCTCATATTATGATAACACAGAAGCGAGAGTACCTTGCTTTTTTTCTATTTCACAGTTCCAGAGGCAGGGTTCCCCCTTTGGCGGTCACCTCAATCACCCCCCTTCAGCGTGACAGTCCGTGCTCATCCCGAATGAGAAGAGAGAAGAAGTTGAACCCCCTCTGCCATAAATAAGAACATGAAAGACAAAGACCCTGGCAATGGGCCTCTCCCCCTTTCCCTTCCCCTCTCCAGAGAGAAGAATGAACAGGGGAAATAAAAAAATAATAATAAAGAAAAAGATGACATTCCATAAAGTCGACATAACCAACGTGGACTTTTTTGTACTCGATGCATATGAACGTGCGCAAAAATGCTTCGTCAATGCATTCATTCCTTGTTGTTATTTCCTTAAGTCCTTTTCATATTGTTTAGTTCTACAACTCTTAACATACACTTTTATTCAAGCGTTTGCGCCGACAGTACTATTAAAACATCAGATGCGAAAAACTGCATCCAACAAAATCAAAAAATACTTTCACTAAGCATTTTGGTCCAGGCAGACCATTTGAGGGAAGACAGGGGAAATGTGGAGGAGAAAGGGGAAGGGGGAGGTACATTTCTTCTTTTTTTTTTCAAGGTCAACAAAGAAAGGAAAAAAGCCCCCACCCATCTCTCCCTTGTCAGCTCCCCTCCCTCCCCCCTCTCCCTCAAAATTCCGTTCTCACGCTCATGCCGCGACCTTCGATGAACTAAACGACAAAAATGACACAATATCGAGGTCATCCCCGTCGTGCTCGACCTCCTCCGCGGTGATGTTGTCGAGATTTTTAAAAATTGAAACCAGCGCCGTGATGATCTCACGCTGCGTCTCCGGAAGCGGCTTCAGGCCATGCTCGGCGAGCAGCTGCTCAAGCCCATCGTCAAACATCTCCTTATTCTCCCACGTCAAGCGGAGAAGCTGAAAGATATTGCATAGCTTGCGGCGGAACTCGACCACGACATAGCCGGCCACCCCATCCACCTCCACGAAGCGCTCCCGCCCGCAGTAGATCACCTTGAAGACGTGGAAGGCGCCGTCGTGGTCGCTGAAGGTCGCGTAGTGCAGCCGGGTGGAGAAGAGGAGGAGCGACATCCAGAACTGCTTCGGCGATGAGATCGCCGTCGAGAAGCTCGCGAGGAGCTTGTCGTAGAAGAGGTTGAGTTGGATCGGGATGATGATATCCTCCTCCCTCCACCGCAGGCAGCTCGGGGAGTGGATGTCGGGCATCGCGGAGAGGTCGCTGAAGAGCCCGAGCGCCATTTCCTGCGAGTTGGTGTAGGTGTTCCCCTCGCTCCGCACCTCAAGGGCCTGGGCGACGAAGGCGACGCTGGTCATGACGACGACCATCGGGGCGAGCTTGTCGAGCTGCTCGAGCAGCCCGCCTGCCTCGTGGATATCGCGAAACGGCATGAAGTCGGCGAGCTCGAACTTGATGTGGCTCTCCAGGTCCACGATCGCCTGGAGCTTCTCGAAGCTGAGGTGTTTTTGCAGGCACCACTGGTGCACCGCCTGGGGGTTGCTCACGTGGCGCTCCATCTCGAGCCGGAAGAGGAGGGTGGCCTTCATCACCGCGACGATGTCGCTGCGCTGCTCGCAGGACATGCCCCGCATCACGTTCTCCGTCTCCTCCATCGCGCGGGCGAGCTTAAACGGGCCCTTCCCCCCCCGCCGATGCGGCCCGCCGCCGACGGTGAAGGGCGAGAGGCTGCTCACCACCGCCGCGGCGAGGATCATCAGCGACTCCAGCCCCGTCAGGAAGCCGAAGAAGACGAGCATCCCCGCCGGCGGGGAGACCGGCATCAGCTGCAGCATCCGCCCGAGGAAGGTGCAGGTGTACTCGGTGATCTCCGCCGTCACCCCCTGCTTCGCGCTCGCGACGATGCGCTCGCTCCAGCGCGCGGAGTGGTCGGAGAGCCGGGGGATCCGCTCCCCCGCCGCGAGGGGGTCCTCCACGTCGAGGATGCAGCCCAGCTCCGTCAGGACGTTCATCGACGACGCGATCGTCTCCAGGTGGGGCTGGCCGTGGCAGAGGCTGAAGATCGCGACGGGGTTCGCCACCACCTGCATGCAGTGCAAGGAGAGGTCGTCGATGCGGGAGTTCTCGATCGGCGGCTGCGCGTGATCGGGCAGATCCACCACCTGCGAGGAGGGGAAGAAGCAGAAGTAGAAGCCCTGCTGCACCCGCCCCACCCGCCCCCGCCGCTGCGTGATGCTCACCTTCGAAATCCACTGCATGACGAGGGGGGGGTAGAGGATCGACGCGGGCACCCCAACGTTGATCTTCGGCCGCTTCACCAAGGCGAGGTCGATCACGAAGACGACGTCCGGCAGCGTGATCGAGACCTCCGCGATGTCCGTCGCGAGGTAGATCTTCTGGCGGTTCGACACCCGCCGCTTCATCGCGGCCTCGATCTGGCTGAGCTCGATCGCGCTATGCCACGGGACGACGTCCACCCGCTGCGGGAGGTTCGCCTCCAGCCACGACTGCACCATCTCCACCTGCGCTCGCCCAGGCAGGAACGCCAGGATCGAGTGCGTCGGGTTCGACGCGTTGTTCAAAAAGACGATGAGGTTCTGCAGCAGGCAGAGGTGCTTCTCGACGAGGCCGCGGTCGACGGCCTCCGTGCGGAGCAGCCGGGGCGGCGCCGCGTGGTCGACCCCGAGCAGCGCGCAGCAGTCCTCGAGGAAGTAGTCGTGGATGGGGTGCTCCGGCTCGCTTTGTTTGTACGTCGCGACCTTCAGCCCGGTGAAGTACTCCTCCCATGACTCCGTGTTCAGCGTCGCGCTCATCAGGATGAGCTTGAAGCTCGCGAGCCCCTCCGCCAGCATCAGGCGGAGCAGCGCGACGGTCACCTCGAGGTCGGGCTGGCGCTCGTGGAACTCGTCGAGGACGATGTGCGTGAACGGCACCTCCGCCGGGCTCTCCAGCAGCCGCAGCAGGAGGGTGTAGCTCGTCATATACCACAGCCGCGTCTGCTCATCCCCGCGCTTCTCGCCGCGAATCCAGTAGCCAACGTCCTCCCCGACGTTCTCCCGGCGGAGGCTCGCGACGCGGTTCGCGATCGCGATCGTCGCGGTTCGCCGCGGCTGCGTGCTCACCACCCGCGTGTGCGGGGAGAGCTCGAGGAGGGCCTTGGGGATCCCGGTGCTCTTCCCACTCCCCGTATCCGTGCAGATGAAGACGACGTGGTGCTGCTCAATCAGGTCGAGGATCACCGGCATATCCAGCCGCTCCACCACCACATCGCTGATCGTGATGTTCTCCTGCTTGCCGTACTCGCCGAAAAACTTTTGCTGCGTGCGGAGCATCGCCTGTTGCACCTCCTGGAAGCTCAGAAAACACTTTTTGTACTCCGGATCGTTCGCCATCGCCTCCTCGTGCGCCCGCTGCGCCGCCTCCTGCTCCTTCGCGAGGCGCTGCTGCAGGCGTCTGTGGGGGTCATCCCGCCGCCGTCGGCCGCGCACGCCCCGCTGGGGGTGCTGCAAGGAGGACTTTTCCTTCCCCTCCTCGCCAGGGGCCTCGGCCGCGCCCCGCTCCATCGAAGGCTTCCCCGCGCCGGCGTGCGGGGCGGATTTGTTGACCTCCGGGAACATATCCGCTAGCTTCTGTACCGCACTTTTCGTGGGAACCGCGACGTCCGAATCGGCGGGGTCGGCCCGCTTCGAACGGGGCTTCGGGATTTTCCCGGGCTCCTCCGCCGGTTTGCTCGTCGCAGCCGGCTTCTCCACTTTGATGAGGTCGGTGACTTTTTTCTTCTCCATGGCCTTGGATAGGTACTCCACCGCACCACGCGAGGGCTGCGCCTTGGACTTCTTGACCTTCTGCTCAAGCCAGCTCAACACGCTTCCGCTGTGTTCGACGGAGGACCACGTCTCCCCCTTGCCAGCCGCTCCAGAGCTTTCCCCGGATTTCTTACCATCAACCTTCACACCGGCAGGCTGCTTGGAGTCCGCGTCTCGCTTGACCTTTGCATTGGATCTCCAGGGCATTCTATCACACGACCACTGATCTTCTTTATATATATATATATATATAAACAACTAAAACAAAGATTAATGAACTTAATTTTTCAACTTTTCCGATTTCGTGCTATATGCTAGAGATATCAAGAGAAAATAGACGGTTTAACTGGTCAAACTACCACAATAAGTCTTTTCCTTCAGCCCCTCGACCCGCCCCCGACCCCATCTCCTTGCAATTAAAAGTACTCTGCGAAATCATTACATCCAGCAAAAGACGAAAATGACGTTGGTAGGTGTCTGTACTCATTCAAAAGGAAAGGAATCCAGACTGTCTTTATCAACCTCCCAAAACTAGTGATACTATGAAACCCCACGTGGCTAGCATAATAGCACGAAGAGGGGGAAAGGCGTGTTCCCCAACGAAATCATGATTCAACAATCCATCAATATGAACAGAAAAAATAAGTCTCGCAATTAAGTAATGCAACTGTAAACAAGTTAAATAAACCAACAGATAGACATATGAGACATTTTATCCCTAGATGGTTCCTTCAGTAGGCTACAGGATGCCGTAAATACGGGTACGAAGGGTCGCAAAGACCGTCCCTGTACCATGGCAGATACACTTCCAAAGGAATTTATTATTTGCTGGTGTAAAAAAGGCGGTAGAATACCCCACAAAAGAGGTGGAATACTACGACGTTTATAACGTATATGTGGCCTCCGACGTGCGAACGTGCATGGACATGAATACGTTCTTTCTATTTAAATGGCTCTACTGCTTTTTGGAAAAAATTCAAAAAGCACAGAACCACAGTGTAACCACAGCGAACATATCTCTTTCCATGTGCACAGGAGAAAATAAGATACTCCGATGATGAACCTCCTTTACATGTTATCGGCTTAATCCTACCCATTCCTCATGACGTCTTGACAAGTGGATCTCTAGGGAAGTACTCCGTAATATTTCTAATGGAAGCTATGGATAGGCATGGTGGCAGAAAATACAAGAGGGCACCCTGATAACCCGCTTCCGATCAGACTGAGCGCGCGAAAGGGTGTTTTAGCCCGAGGAATACGACACCCCCCGCGGTAAAATCCGCATGAAAGTGTCTGAAGTAGGTAGATTCTCTAAATGACATAACCACACGCTAGGCTAAAAAAAGGTCTTGAAGAGCAGCGTAAGATCGGTAGATCCGCTGCCGAGAGTAACAAGCATTGCACTTGGGCCATCCCTCAGTATTATGTAGGCAACTGAATCTCTCAAAACTTCATGTAAGCGGTCGACAGTAGTTTAAAGGTAGTTCTGAACTGCCAACCACGCCTTTAAAGCTCATTCGTTCCGTTTACTCAACGACCAAATAGTACCATCCAGAAAGTACTATGTAGGGGGTGTTATAGATGGAAGGCTTATCATTGGGTAGCTGCTTGCTGCTGCAAGGCAAGGAGATGTGTGGAGCTGGCTCGAAAAAAAGGACCAGAACTCCAACCGTCACCTCACCTTTAAGCTCTCCCTCAGATTGATATTTTCTACCTCCCCTCCCCCCACCCACTCACTCACCCCTCAAAAGGAAAAAACTCTTGAATGAATTCAAGATAATGAAAAAAGGGGAGCCAGTAAAAAATAGGAGTGAAACCATACCCCCTTAGCGTATTAGAGACTCCGTAAAAATATATATCGAAAAACCATAATTAAGTTGGCAGCGATCGTAACAGGAAAACGCCCTTCCTTCTCATTCCTCTCCAGTAATTCGAAATTCTCCTGTTGATGCTGGGAAGGAAGAGGAAGACAATGGGTTGATCAATTCAAAAGGTACTTACTTCATGGAGAATATTTAAAAAAAATAAAGTATACCGGCAATGCTTTCTCATTAAAAAGCCTGCCATGGTCATGCCAATTTGGAAAATATGCAATTGTTTTTGAAGTCTAACTCGGCGTGAGATGAATCCACCTCAATTCGCACTAGTTACATCAACTGTGCTCACAACAAACACAGGTTAGTAATACAATCCACGGGTCCTATAAACTGATCTCGCGAGGGGAAAGGGTGAAGTGGTGAGGGTTGGCGTCCGGAAACCCCCCACCGAGGTGCTGCGTCAAGATCTCCTTCAGCTCCCGGTTCTCCCGAGAAAGCCTGTTAATCATGACGTCCCGCTCACCCAGCATCTGCTGGATCTCCTTCGTGATGTCGCGCTGGAGCTGCCGCATCACCTTCCGCCGGATGCGGCTCTCCATCTCCCGCAAATTAAGCTCCACCGCTCGCCTCGCGAGGCGGCTA